TTTCATTTATAGACGGTTTTTTACGGATTACGAGCACAATGCAGTGGTTCGGTTTTCTCGAATATTCGCTGCAAACATCAAATCCACTTCGAAAGCAGAAATATGGTGGCCTTCTAAAACATTCCATAAAAAAGTCAGTGCTGAGGTATGTCATCAGTTTCTCAACAGCATCTTTCAATTTATACTTATCATTCATTCTTGTCCTTAATTTTGTCAACCTGAGTCTTGGGTGTGAGTCTTAATCAGTTAGTATGATGAGTGTTGTTTCCAGTAATATTCAAAATATATTCTACCCCAATCGTATTTTTTCCAAAAATATGTAATGGAGATTTTTTGTTATTATTCTCTTTCAGAAACAACCTGTCAAAGTTGAAAAGAAGAAATTAGCTTTAACGTTCGCTCCGGATCCTCCAGTTGAGATGCTGGCGCCTGATGAGGAAGTAGGTAAAAGAAAGATTTTTCAAGACAAACAACTATAAGATATTATTAAGGCTTTAATGCTGTCGTCTAAAACCAAGATTAACTCTTCTCAAGCCAGCACTTCGCATGCCAATGAGAGGCAATCAGAAGACACAATGGCTCCATGGAGAGCAGGGCCCGCAAAGATATGGTATGCGCGTACGTATTGTATTCATACCTATCATTTTTTCTTGGACATTTTATTCCATATTACTTATTCAATTCTACAGTTTTCTCTTACATTATATATAATTGGTTTTTTATCCTACGTTCTTCGCAGGAAATTCAAGAATTCTGGGAGCTTTTTATCTTCATTTTCGTACATCTTAAGTGAATATGACAGTCTTAGTCCTACTTTCCTGTTGAATATCCAACTTTGATTTTGCTCACCTTCCTAATTAAATTACTATGTCTTAGGTATGATCGTGCTGGAGTACCTTCTACGGCGTCCACATACGATTATGGGCTAGTCAAAAGAAGAAAGGTATGTTAACCTCAATTTTCATCTGTTTTTATGTCTATTTTTCTCTAACCTCATTTAGGAGTATGGTAGTACCCGAGAGCAAGCGCAGAAATTGTTACCTGCTGA